ACTTTGGAAGTTGAACATGCACCAACAGAAATGAAGCTTACAAAAAATAGAGAAGAGAAACAGTAACAGGCGATCCCGTTTACTTATTTCACCTAACTTCAAATTCTAATTTTGAATTATCAATTTTTTATGCTGTCTTTTAGTTTTGCACCTATTCAGTTTTTTAATAGTGAAAAAGCTGAAATTTGTAGTCCATGCAAAAGTAGTTTTAACAAGCCCTAAATAAAAAAAAAAGAAACTAACCTTATTTACTAATTATACCAGGACATGATTACTGTTTTGGACATTTGTGATTATTATTTACATTATTAAGGGTTAATATTGTACACGGACAGCGTATATACTATTATCGTTGAGTATATATCACATATACAAAAAATAAAGCTTAAATTCAAATTAATATTAAGTGACTTGCATTTAAGGGTGTTAATGTATATATTGATAGTGTATACCCACCCAACAAACTATCATCAGTAAACTTAGCTTACACTTAATTAGATACTTTCTCGGTTGAATCTTATTATTTTCAAAAGAATTAACACTAGGCCCTCTTTAATATTCAATTCAATAGTTAAACTTAATGGATTCAAAATTAATATGCTTAGATGTATTAATAAATAAAAATAGAATATCTTAATTAATTTAGTGGTTCAAAATTGCCTAGTCAAAACTTACTCAAAAAAAATTAATAAACTATTCACTTATCATTTAATACAAAATATGCTCAAATGTTAAAATTTCAATATTTAACTATTCAATAAGTTAAGAGATTTAGATTTTAGACTTCAAATTTCAATTTTATCAAATGCACCTTTAATAACCGTAATAAAGCCCCTTTTGAGTTCCTAATAAACATATCCTTTTCTCTTTTTTTTTTTCTCTTTTTTGGGTCCTATAATGGGGCAAAGGTCCTTTGTAGAGATATCGACAAACCCTTTTCACAGGCCACACAATTTCTAGAAACTAAATAGGTTGAAACAAATTTCTCCGAAATAAATCCGATAATTAAGGGAGATTAACCGATGGAAGCGGAGAGGTCTGCATTGAAATTTGAAATTGACACCTTTGGACTGATTTGGGTTTGCCAGAAGAGAAGAAAACCAAAAGTCAAAATGTCAAACCCATTGTGGTCACCTTACTTTGCTTTCCTTTGCGTTGCTTTCAGTGTTGCGCCAGCATCGTGCGAAGCCGTACCTTTTGCATCCTTGGGGTCCATGGAAGTGTGATCAACGGCTCAGATCCTCTTGCCACCTGATCATCTGATTTTTCCACCCTACATGCTTTTTACTGGTGCGTGTGATTAACGTGCTCAACATTTTATTTAGTTATTCATCTTTCGTCGGAACATGTTAAGAGTTAAAATTGGTAAAATCCCTACTTTTTTTTTTAATACTCTCGCTTATAGTGCTCGTGTACTACCATCGTGCTGGTTTTTTATTTTTATTGTACTGCTATCAAGAAACGTGGAGGGAAAGCTTTATACTAGTAAAAAAAAAAAAATCATAAGTCAGTACTAATTTGCCATTTAATTTTTTTTTACATTTTTAAGAGCACTCCGATGTTTTTTGAATCCTTTTAAGATTGTTTAGGAAAATAGATTTTTGACAAAATTCAAGTGATCAGATAGGAGATTATTTGGAAAAAATATTTAGAATAATACTATAATATTTTTTGTGATATAATGTATGTAAAAAGAAAAGATGGTCTAGAAGATAAAAATAAATAATTAAAAAATATGTTTATGATACAAATACAATAATATTTACAGATGCTTGCATTACTTTTCTACCCGATTCATGGATGGTTTGTTGAAATTCAAGCATTAGCTTTTTTACATCATATATATTGTGAGAGTTATCGTGGTACCGTTTTTGTGTTTTCATAAAAGATACAATCTAAGTATCTTTGATTCACCATGATACATAGCTATCCCCGAATAATAAATATTGACTCAATCTAAGTATCCAATACGACTTTGTGCATGTTGAAAAACGTATCACAAAAGCACTCCGAAATTATAGAATCCTTCTTGTTGAAAAACGTATACTTCTTGTTAGAAGTTATAGAATCCTTCTACTTTTCAGCATATTGTGCTTGTTCTCAATGTCATATACCCGTGGAAACTTTCGCGCACCTGTTCCTAGCTAGCTCATGAATGAATTAGAACACTAAAGAACTCCTTTAATTGTGGTTTCATATCTTTGAGATCAATTTAATTTGGTTTTCATAAGCATGCAGCTTTTGATGACTATTCATAACGGGAGGCACAGATGAGGATTCATTTATTGCCAAATTCTTTGTGAAATTTATATCACATGTACCCTTACTAGTGAACAAAGTCTGAGTGAAATTTATATCACATGTACGTACCCATATTAGTGAACATTCATTCAACGTAGAACCTGCATTGATATGTTTCGAGTTTTGTTCAGCCTTATAGGTTCATTACGATAACTTCAAACTCATCAAAAGGTCAGCCTAGAGTAAAGTCTGTTTATGATATAGCCCTTTTTAACCTAGCTAAAACTACAAAGACCCTTGTCATATTTTCCCCTGTTCTATTTAAACTACCTCTAGCGAAACGTTTATTATGGCACATGATCTCCTGCATTGAGTGCATGCATTCGACTAATTAATTATAAAGTACGCAATCACACGTCTATCTGACAATGGAGTTAAGTTTAACGTTGAATATTGTGTAGAAGCCATGTAAAGGATATACCTATTTCTTGAATAGAGTTAAGTTGAATAGTATTGTGTAGAACCTACGTAAATGATATACATATTTCTTGACTAGAGTTAAGTATGGCGTTGAATATTGTGTAGAAACTACAGAAATGACATACCTATTTCTCTAACCAGATCTTCACATCATACAACTTATTTATTTTTCTGGGTAAGTACTGCTTCTTAATTTCTTGGCAATAGGAAATTTGTTTTGAGTACTCCATCACAAGAGTTCTTTGCGAGATTTTTCCGAGTGAAATCTGGCCGAATTCCGTGCAGGATGCTCTCTACTTTGCTATTATTTGCGTCCTCAAATTAAACTATGTTTGATAAAATAATTGACACTAATATTGGACCTGCATGTTAGTTTATAACAAATTGATTTATCATATTTGAAAATATATTATCATTTGCAGTTACCAATGAAGAATAATTTAATCAGAGAAAATAATGTTCAATCAAAGAATACGCACATTGCAATTCTTTATTCTACTATTTCTCATTGTGGAAGTTGGTCTTAACTCCTTTTTTTTTATTACATAGCCTCTCACAATTTATTTTTGAAAGACAGGTTTTACCCCATACTTCAATTGTTTGTAGTCAATTGCATAGGTCATCTTTCCATAGTTATTGACCAAGAAATAGTATAAGCATATACCTGCTTTTGTCATTGCCATTTAAAGCGAAATATCTACCCTATATTTCTTTAATACAGGGTTATGTATGCATATATCTTTTGGAAAGCGAGGACATTCTTTCCTTTATTTTGAAGCTTAGAGGACATTCATTCCTTGGTTGATGTCTCAACTTGTTTTCTCATCTTCTCAAATCCTGCCCCTTTATGGATCTTGGTGTTTTCTATTCTTTGGGAAAATACACTAATTCTGATGTGATGTCAATTAAATAACCTGTACTAGAGAAATAGTAAGACATGTGAATCGGTCAGTCAACCAAAGGTTGACTGCTGAGGGTTCAAGAACATTGACAAAGTTGCTTTCATTAGAGTCGCTTACTGTTTTAGTTGAAAAAGTATGCATCAAGCACCATATATTGCCTTGAATTTTCTTCTCAGTCGACTAATGGATCCGCTGTATAGAAAACTTAATTCTTATTCGTTGAAGATGAGAGGGCAAGTGTCATATGCATGCCTTGAGTATTCTTTAATTCAAGTGATTAATTCCACATATCCAACACTTGAAAATGTCATATGAAAAATATAAATTTGAGATAATCAAATTACAAGATCACCGTTTTTAGGGAATTAATTGGAAAAGAAAATCTCATATTAAGACTTGTGGTTTTAATTTTTTTTTTTTGGTTGAGTTCCTAAGTCTCTTGTAGAGTTAAAAACCTGAATTTACTTTGGAATGATGATTTCTCTCTAGTATCCAATTATTCATTGTTAGATGCTAAGGCAAAGTGGTTCGTATTCTTTGAACTACTAATACTAGCTTCTGCAATTTTCAGTTCTTCAATTTTAACGTCTAATTACTTCTTGATCAAAACTTATACACTTAATCACATATAGTGCTTATTAATTTCTTTATCCATTGGTGATTACTAATTCTCCTTGATTTTTACTTACTAATTGCTCCTTATATGCCAATCACTTCATTTGAAAATGGAAAAGAAAACGGGGAAGACAAATATCGCCCTAATTTCTTACATCCCCATGCAAACAAATTATCAAAAGGAAACTAGCGCCACGCGCGCTTATTCCTGACCAAGCGTTTCAATTGAAGAAAGAGAGGTTTGACTTCCATGGGAGCTCACTCAGCGAAACGGATATTTGTCCAATAATATCGCTCCACGTCTACACAATAGCCGACTGTTCAACCGGCGGTTTTTCTTTCTAGCCACCGTAGTTAAAGCCCCGCATTTACCACCCCTCACTCGTCCTGTAAATCCCACTTATTACAAAAGAGAGAGAAAAATTGGGAAAAAAGAGAATCAGGGTTCTTAGAATCCCAACTAAAAGTGAGAGAAAAAGACCAAGAGAGGAAGAAGAAGAAGCCAGAGTGGTTGAAGAAAATAACAAAGGTAGCTGAAGAAGAAAAGGGAAGAAGTTAAATCACACCGACACACTAGAGAGTAGATAGTGGAGGGAGGTATATATATTGGTAGTAATAAATTTCACTCGTTTTTTCTTGGCTAACATGTTTAAGATTTCTCATTAAATACTTTGGTATTGCATCTTTCTTATTTTTTGTGAAAGGGAAGAGGATGGTCTACAGGACTGATGACTAGGTAGATAAGTATGAAGATGTTTGAGATTTTCTCTCTTTCTTTCTTTCTCTCGAGGTGTGAATTTGGTTGAAAAACATTAACTTTCAAATGTTTTACGTATAACTGATTTTAATGACCTCACTTCCCCTGAAATCTTTACCCTTTTCTGTCTTCTTCTTCCTTGTGACGCTTATTTAACTGATCCTTGCCGTTCAGTAGACTAACCAGTCTTCCTCAGTCCTCATCCTACCTTCTCCTCGTTGTTTTCGCCAAGTCCCTTTGTGCCTTGTTTTCCTTGTGGTTTCTTTTCCTTCCATCCTTCCCTTTTAATTTTTCCTTTTAAATCCCTATCAACAGAGTGTTTTCATCAGTGGTGTGATTGTGATAGTCCGTCCTTTTTGGTAAGGGGCTTGGTTTTGTTACCATTTTCGAAAGCATCCCTTGTTGGGGTTTTTTTTTCTTTTTTGTTTGCCCCCTTTTGCTTATCTTGTAATGGTAAATTTTGTTTTGAACTTTTTCTCTTTGTTCGTTTTCAGTGTAGCTAAGGAGGAGGAAAGGAGACAATCGCTGATAATCTCCACCGCAGAATTTTCTTTTTGAAAAGGTTTCAAGCGAAGATGTTTGGAGATTGCCAGATTCTGTCATCCATGGGAGGGAATGGTGTTCCTTCAGATTCCTATTATCCCTCCTCCATCCAGAACCCTAGCTTCAGCTTCATGACTAACCTCCCTTTCAACATTTTCCCTCCAGCCCTTATTCCCGTGAGCCCTCTTTCAAATGCCAGCTTTTTTTCCTTATTGGAAATGCCATTCCTATTTCACTCGCTTTTGATATTTTACGTGATTCAATTTTCTTTTCTTGATCATGATTTTTTTTTTGTAATAAAATGGCTAAACCAATTTTTTTTTAAAATTTTTTTAAATAACCTTGCTTTTAGAAGGAGGAAAACGGGATGTCAAGAAGCAAGGAGGAGATCTTGGAAAGTGGTTCTGGAAGTGAACATGTCGAAGGAGGAGTATCCGGGAACGAGCAAGAAGCCGAACAACAGCAGCCCACAAAGAAAAAACGCTACCATAGGCATACTGCTCGCCAGATCCAAGAAATGGAGGCGTATGATTTTTTTTTTTTTTTTGGTTTTCTTCCTTATGATCACATTTCCCCTTTTCTGTCAAGCCCTTTTTCACCCTAATCAGGAAAATGGTTAAGGATTCATGTTTTTCCCCCTTTGTTTTCCTTAAACTTATCGATCAGTTTCATCACTAATACATGCATGTTAATGCTTCGAATTATACAGGTTGTTTAAGGAGTGCCCACATCCAGACGACAAGCAAAGGCTGAAACTTAGCCAAGATTTAGGCCTGAAACCGCGTCAGGTCAAGTTCTGGTTCCAAAACCGTCGAACCCAGATGAAGGTATAGATATCTAGCGTTTACCTACATCATTAATTACTCGTATTAATTTCTTGGTGGAGTTTCCTCTCAATTTTCACTTTCACCATCCACAGAGGTTGAAAATCGAAATGAATCGTAAAACCCTAGCTAAAAACTGAGGGTTTTCCAGCTGTGAAAGAAACACTCGCACAATCTAACACGATTTCCAAGACATACTATATTTTTCACCCACAGGAGTCAAGAATCGTTTTGATGGCCCTAAGCTAAAGGGCAAGAAATCGTGACAGATAACCACGCGGAAGGTTGAAAAGTTCTAACTAGGGGAAAGGGAAAGGGTGGAAGAGGGAGGCATGACATTTACTTCCGGTTGCTTTCGTGGTCTGCAATTCCATTAATATACACTAGTGGGGTGTGCAAGGTGAGTGGGGTGTGCATGCAACTGTGCAGTCAACCCCCACCTACTAAGACATAAGGATCCCAAAACAAACAGGGAATTTATTGCATGCTGTATAGGGTTAATGGGATGCGTATGTACGGATCCCATTTTATGATCATTTGGTTTAATGATTATCATAGGATAATTTCTTTAGGATTATTGTACGTCTAAGCTAGGACTTTAATGTATCTCCTGTTACTTTAATGTTGTACGTACTTAATAAGGATTAAATGTGGTATTATTTTATGTAGGCACAACAAGACCGGGCAGATAATGTTATACTTAGAGCTGAGAATGAGAGCTTGAAGAATGAGAACTATAGGTTGCAAGCTGCCCTTAGGAACGTCGTTTGCCCCAATTGTGGTGGTCCGGCGGTGCTTGGCGAGATGGGCTTTGATGAGCAAGCTGTTCGTCTTGAAAATGCGAGGCTCAAGGAAGAGGTATTCTTTTCAATTCTCTATTTACTTTACTTTAAATTGGTGTTAGTTTTATTGATAGGAATGCTGTCTCGATTTTATCCATTTGCATTCAATTTCGTGCCTAAAGGTTTATGGTTATCCATTTTTCGTAGATTGGTCAAATTTTTCATAGTAAATACCAAAAGTCTCTAGTACATTGAACTAGGATATTAGTAGTCTTATTTTGTTTAATAAGCTTATCATTTTCACGTACACCAAGCGAGTGTGGACAGTCCATTTTTTTTTATTTTGCAAAAAAAGTTTCTAAATCCTGTGTTTGATTTAGTTCTGCATTAATTTCATAAAGTACAAAATATTTGTTATGTGCAGAAATTGTGCTATATTCTATATTCTATTTTTTGTTAAATTATTTCTTTTGTGCACACTTTGTTAAAAAACAATAGGTTACTCTTTATTTTGCAAAATAATTTTTTTTTCTTAGTCTAATGGTTAATTTAGTTTTGCCATTGATTTCATAAAGCACGACCATTTGTTAAACAACTTGTTAATTATGTGCAGAATTTGTGCTTCATACTATTTTCTACTTGTTGAATTATTTCTTCTGTGCAAACTTCGTGCTATACGTTATTTTATTCAGTTTTTCGCGATTCCCAAACCAAATTGGTTCAAATCCATGTAAAAAAAAATCAAAAGAACTATTATCAAAATTAGATTCACTAACCCTGTTTCAGTTAATGCAGTATGATCGTGTCTGCGCCTTGCTTTCGCAGTACGGTGGGAGGGCAATCCCAGAAATCGGGACAAGTTCCCTTTTGGCTCCTTCCTTGGATTTGGACATCAACATGCTTCCAAGGAAGTTTGAAGAGCCAATTGGTGACTGCCCAGGCATGCTATCTATGCCGTTCATTCCAGAAAATCCCAACTTTTCTGGCGGAGTTCTGATTCTAGACGAGGAGAAAAGCATTGCAATGGAGCTGGCTATTTCATCCGTGGAGGAGCTCATGAAGATGTGCCAAGCTTGTGAACCCCTTTGGCTAAGAACCAGCGATGGTTCAAAAGAAGTGCTAAACGTGGACGAGTACAGAAGGTTGTTTCAGTGGGGAGTGGACCTCAAGCAGAATCCAACCCAAGTCAGGACCGAAGCCACCCGCCACAATGCGGTTGTTATTATGAATAGCATCACTCTGGTTGATGCATTTCTTGATGCTGTAAGTCATCGTATTATTTCTTGATGCTGTGAGACGTGTGCTTGGGGTGGGGGGGGGGATGGGTTCCATCCCACATCAAAAGATTGTGGGGTGGGTTTAGGTTCTCAGCCGCACTTCCAACTATCAATTGGCTGGATGGTGTTGGTTTGTGGACTCCACCTTAGATTGTATTTTGCACTAGAATTTCGATTATCTTTGAGTGTTAATCTAACTTTGTTGTATTTTTTTCCAGTAATTCCGATTGTTGAGAAAAAAAAGAAGTCGTCTTCGTATTATTTCTGAGTTGTTTAGCCAAAGATATACCTAATTTGTAGCACTTGCTTTGCACATAGTTACATATTAAAGCCTAATAATTGTCCACAGTTTTCTTCCGCTAATGTTTGATTTGATTAATTTTTTAATTTGATAGCACTTGCTTTGCACGTGATTACATATTATAGCATAATAACGTCACACTTAGATAGCCTAATAATGGTACACTTAGATTAACTTATTGCCATAGTTTGAGAATAATTATCCAATTTCCGCTAATGTTTGATTTGATTATTATTTTTTTTTAAATTATAGCACTTGCTTCGCACGTGATTACATATTATAGCATAATAACGCTACGCTTAGATTGCTAATTGCCATAGTTTGAGAATAATTATCCGACATCCGCTAATGTTTTGTTTGTGTGCATTTTTTGTTATTTCAGAACAAATGGATGGAACTGTTCCCATCAATTGTCTCTAGAGCAAAAACCCTTCAAGTCGTTACCTCTGGGGTTTCTGGTCATGCTAGTGGTTCTCTTCAGCTGGTTAGTAGTTAATCCTCCAAACAAATTTGTCTTTATCATTTTGTAATTCAAGTGTACAGGACTTCACAACTCGTAGATCTCTGGCATAATTTGGCTTATTTTGCGGTTTAATTGCAATTTGGTTGGTGTTACAGATGTATGCTGAACTGCAAGTCCCATCTCCATTGGTGCCCACCCGAGAGTCTCATTTCTTGCGTTACTGCCACCAGAATGCCGAGGGGGGAACTTGGGCAATTGTGGACTTCCCCCTGGACAATTTCAACAACAGTTACCCTACAATTCCCTACTACAAGAGAAGGCCTTCTGGGTGTATCATCCAAGATATGCCCAATGGATATTCAAGGGTAATTTCGTCTTCAAATTACACTAAACCACTAAAAACCAAGTCCCTTAATTAATCTTGTCAAGTACTAATAATTAGATTAGATTAATAACCTAAGATGTTAAAGCATATTCTTTTATGCACCCAAGTGCATGCATATGATCTGTCCTAGGTCAACAGTTTTTAGTATTTACCTTAAAAAGACTAGGTCATCGTACAAACCATATTACAACGTAATACTTATCTAACAACCCCTTGTTTACATGCAAAGGTTACGTGGGTGGAGCACGTGGAAATTGATTCAACCCCTCTCAATCAAACAATTAACCATTTGGTCAGCAGCGGCAATGTTTTTGGAGCAAAACGTTGGCTATCTGTTTTGCAACGACAGTGTGAAAGAATTGCTAGCCTAATGGCCCGAAACATCTCTGATCTTGGAGGTATATATATGTGTGTGTATATATCTATTTTTTTCTTCTTATTATTTTCTTTATATTTAGTTTTACTCTTTTTATTTCTGGGATTTGGCTGATTAATTTGTGGAGTAATCAACAGTGATACCATCTCCAGAAGCAAGAAAAAATGTGATGTATCTGTCGCAGAGGATGATAAGGACTTTTTGTATGAATATAAGCAATGCATGTGGGCAATCATGGACAGCCCTTTCTGATTCTGCTGAGGACACAGTTAGAATTGCAACCAGGAAAGTCTCAGGACCTGGTGAACCCAATGGCCTCATTCTCACTGCTGTCTCAACCACTTGGTTGCCATATCCGCACTACCAAGTCTTTGATCTCCTCAGGGATGAACGACGCAGATCTCAGGTTTATATTAATACATAAGCTAGAGCTTTTACCAAAAAAAAAAAAAAAAAAAAATTATTGTTTCTTTGTTTTTCCTGCCAGAAAAGTATAAATTAGAAACTGATACGTATGCTTTGTGATTTATCTGCAACAGCTTGATGTGCTTTCCAATGGGAATGCATTGCAAGAAGTGGCTCATATAGCCAATGGCTCTCATCCTGGAAATTGCGTTTCTCTTCTTCGTATTAATGCAAGTCCTACTGTATTTTTCAAACTGATCAGTTTCATTTCATCCAAGTTTTGGAGCATTGGACTAATAATCGTTTTCAAATGGTGAATCATGAATAAAATCAGGTGGCGAGCAACTCATCCCAGAAGGTGGAGCTGATGCTGCAAGAGAGCTGCACCGATGATTCTGGAAGTTTAATTGTGTACACCACAGTCGATGTTGATTCAATTCAGCTAGCAATGAACGGTGAAGACCCTGAATGCATCCCTCTCCTGCCAGTGGGATTCGTCATTCACCCCCTTGAAAATGGCAGCAGCAGCCATGACGGCAGCAGCCTGGACAATGATCAGACTTCTGAAAATGGAAACAATTTGCCTGCTGATCTCTCCGGTTGCTTGCTCACTGTGGGACTCCAAGTCCTAGCCAGCACCATCCCAACTGCAAAGCTCAACCTTTCAAGTGTCACCGCCATCAACCAACACATCTGCAACACAGTCCAGCAAATCAGTGCTGCATTAGGCAACCATGGAAGCAACATTGGCACTACTAGTTCGAATGACAATGACAACATCATCATCGCCTCGTTGGGCGAGCCATCGGCACCTGCACCACCAGTCCAACCTGATCAGGTCTCCACTCCCTAATTACCCTAAACTGCCCTCATCTCTTCCTCTATAGTATTTTAACAAAATCATTATTTTTTGCGTATATAGCTAGGAAGAGATGGGGCAGTTTATATGTAATTAGGGAGGGTGTTAAGAGGGTAGTTTTGCCTGCAATCAGGTGATAAGAGACAGGAAAAAAAGAAAAGGGATGGTGTAGGGAAGTCAAGAGCGCACCAAACATTTATCCTTGCTGGCTGGTGAAGCTAAGATAAATACATATCTCCGGTCCAGCGGTGTGGCTTCACCTGCCAGCAAGGGTAGTGGTTCGGGCATTGACTTCTTCCCTTGTTTAATATGGAGTACAAAATACATGGATGTTATTAAGAATTTATGGTTGAATGCTGGTTTTGTAATGATTTTGATCTCTCGTTTTCTTATCTGTTTGTCTTCTTTTGGTTTTGTGGTATTAATATCCTCGAAGTGGTTTGAAGTATACTTTCAAGAATCTAGTGTCTCTTTCTAGCACATAAGCACGGAGTATTAGTACGTTAAGAGAAATATTAGTTGCATTAACTTTATACACAAATTGGCGGCAAACTAGGTTAAACGTAGAAAAGACCTTTTAATCTGTAGGTCACAGCAATTCCATTTGTTTTAGAGGCTTGCCATTTTCTTTTTCATTTTTAAGGTGGTTAACGGTAGAAATTATCTCATTAAAGGGAAGAATTATACTTTTCTTTGGTGCCTTTACTAGAGTTTTCTTTCAATATATATATATATATTTTCCAGGGACAATCTATTATCTGGAAAGGAAATCCATTAACCCAAAGAAAATTATGCGGTAATCATTCTTACACACATGAAGAACTGGTTTTTTTTTTTGGGAAGACCCGGGGGGGGGGGGGGTGGAATGGAGCAGAAAAAAGATAAGGAAACAAGCTAAAATGAAAAGGGTTCTCCTGAGGTGAGCTGATTTGCACCCTTTGTCCAGCCAAAAAACACACACACACACACACACACACACACACACAAGATGGGGTTTACAATTTAATCCTGTAGAGCGTCGTGGAAGAATGCATGCATCACGTCATCAAGGCTGTCATTTAATACCGGTAATGTATTCCAAAGCAACATTATCTCGAAATAGAATTAGTTGCTAACAAAATTAAGTCATCCACTCATCCCAGAAAATTAGTCCACCAACTATTGTATAAAAAAATGCCCAAAAAACGTAAAATTTAGTCCTTCAACTTAGTATTTAGTGTTAGAAGAATATATATATTTTTATACAATAGTTGTTAGACATGTAACTATCACATGACTCTTTTTAATTGTAATTTGGGAAAAAAGCGTTAAGGGTACTAAGGACCTGTTTGATAATTTAATTCAGTACTTAAATTTAATAGATACAAATCTTCATATATTCACATAAAAATTGAACATTTGAATTAATTAAATGGCATTGAATTTATTAGGCAAAAGTTACTCTCGAAAATTAGTGATAGGTTATTCACTTATCACTAAATATGATATATACTCAAATATATTTAATTTAATATTTAACAATTGAATAACTTAATGGATTCAGATTTAAGATTTCAATTTTATCAAACGCACCCTAAATGTGTTCAAAAGTTGAAAGATTGGATACCAGATTTATTTTTATTCAAAAGTTGGGAATTAAAAACGCTTGTATGTCAAAGTTTGAGTATCAAAATTGTATTTTTCTCTAACCAAATTATAACTAGTGATCCCTCACTAGTTTTACCATAAAATATTTGTGCTAAATATTTTTCCCCGAAACGTTGATCATGATATTCAGACATAATTAAAAATACTAGTTTTACCATCAACTTGATTTCATCCTTGAATAGCCTCTGACGTCCGTCCACTCCTAGTTCTTAAGATCAGCTAGTTATGTTCATCCGAGGCCAAGAAATATTTGTGATGTTCTTAAACTTGAGACGGTTTGACCGCATATTAAACTTAAGAAAATTATACTATCCCACCAAAATAATACACACACACACACACATATATATATATGGTTTTATTTGCTTGAACCCTTTTGAAATTCATTAAAGAAAGTGATTAGTGAATGGGCTTTTAATTAATATAGCAAGATATTGTTTCTTGGAATAAGTTCTTTTCTGATATATATACATATATATATAATTAGTACATCTCGATTTGATTGACTTCTCTAGTTTGGCATAACAAATTCCACATAAATAATTAATAGGGTTTGGGTCAGACTGGACGTGGACCACTGCTTGATCAAATATATGGCTATTAAACTTTTGCCTGCAATTACATAGTCCGTTAACACTTTGTGAATCCTTAAATGCGAAAAACCTGTTTGGCAGCAAGCAAGATTGAACATGAAAAACATCATTTCATTCTCTAGAGAGCATTTCCATTATTAATAATTTAAATTAAAGAAGTTTTAGTCAAAAAGTAATGCTAGAAGGCTTTTTTTTTTTTTTTTTTTTTTTTTAAGGTGATTAGAGGCTTTGGTTATAAAGCTTATAGTATATACACTTGTGCTGTTATGCATCATCACTTCGCAAAAAGAGTACAACGTTATCCATTGAGTTTCAAAGTTTAACTGAGTTTCCACAGATTTCCATGACCGGGTATATTTTGTTGTCAATGAGGTGTAAATCAAAACCTAGAAAATCAGTATAACGCTAAGCACCCTTTTATAATCTAGAAAATTTGCACGACAAAGTGGTAAAAGTTGTCCACATCTTTGGTGCACTGGAACTTTGATTCATTATGTCTTTTCTGAAGTCAAAATTTTTTTAATCTGGAAAGGAAATAGATTGACCCACACAAAACTACGATGCAATCAAACTTTGGCTTGAAGCACTACAAATAAGAAAAGGGAATAAATCAAAACCCCTCAAGAACACTAGGAAAACTATTATAAAAGAGCCCAAGATCTTTGGTTCTTTTAAGATAACCAATCACTCTACAAATAGCTTTCCAATGATCTTTACTTGGATTTTTAGTGTATCTAGCTAGTCTACAAACGAAGTATGAAATATCCGGCCTAGTGCAACTCATTGCATACATAAGACTACTAATAACACTAGCATATTCTAGTTGAGCTATTAGTTTACCGGTATTCTCATACAGCTTAAAGTTAGGATCAAAAGGGGTGCCAACTTCTTTCACATTTAAATATTGATACTTCTTTAATATTTTCTCAACGTAATATGATTGAGACAGGGCAAAACCCCCCACTATGTCTTTTAACTTTAATCCCCAAGATAGTATCTACTTTACCAAGATCTTTCATCTTGAACTTAGAAGATAAATACTTCTTAGTTTCTACTACACCTTTAAGTGTAGCACTAACAATTAGCATGTCATCCACATACAAACAAATAATCACACTATACTCACTATTGGATTTAGAATAAATGCACTTATCAGCATTATTGTACCTAAATCCATTAGAGAGTAAAACAGATTCGAATTTCTCATGCCATTGTTTTGGAGCTTGTTTCAAGCCATACAAAAACTTCACTAGTTTACAAACTTATGTTCATTACACAGGAGTACAAAACCTTCCGGTTGTTCCATGTACACCTCCTCGTTCAAATCACCATTTAAGAAAGCTGTTTTAACATCCATTTGATGCACATGAAAGCTAAAAATAGAAGCTAAAGCTAGTAGTACTCTAACAGAGGTTATCTTAGCCACAGGTGCATATGTGTCAAAATAGTCTATTCCTTCCTTTTGTCGATAGCCTTTAGCCACTAATCTAACCTTGCAAGCAAGAATAGTTCCATCAGTGGTATATTTCTTGCGAAATACCCACTTACAACCAATAGGTTTAGAACCTTGAGGCAAGTCGACAAGAACCCAAGTATTGTTAGACAATATTGAGTCCATTTCATCATTCACAGCCTCTTTCCAAAATGCAGCATCTCTCGATTTCATAGCTTCATCATATGTTTTAGGATCGTCCTCTACACTCAACAAAATTGGAGTTTTATTTAGTAGAGAATCTCTATTTCCTTCTACTAGAAAACAATAGTTTGAAGAGACACAAAGTCGGGGGCAATTGTTTTTCTTTTCTTTGTCTTTGACTCCTCCTAGGTTCACTAGGAGTATCAATTTCTTTCTTTTTTGTACCACTAGAAGAGGCTGCATTTGGAGAGGATGGACCTATAGTGACTGTTGAGTCTTTAAGAAACTTATCTTCAAAGAACTCAGCATCCCTTGACTCAACTATTATATTTGAACCAAGATCAAGTAGTGTATAGGCTTTTGAATTTTCTGCATAGCCAACAAATACACTTTTAAGGGCACTAGGTCCCAATTTAGTCCTTTTATTATCAGGGACCCTATAGTAGGCTATACAGCCCCAAATCCTTAAATAAGACAGATTTGGTTTTCTATTTTTCCACACTTCATAGGGAGAAATTCTAGTTTTTAAGGAAGGAATTCTATTATGAACATGACATGCAACTAACAAACCTTCACCTCACAAATTATTTGGCAACCCTGAACTCACAAGCATGGAATTAACCATATCTTCAAGAGTTCGATTTTCTCTTTCAGCCAAACCTTTTTGTTGTGGTGTGTATGGTGCACTGGTTTGGTGTACAATTCCACTTTCTTCACAAAATTTTGAGAATTCACTAGGGAAGTACTCACCCCCTCTATCACTTCTCAAAATTTTAATTTTCTTATTCAATTGATTTTCTACTAAAGCCTTGTATGTTTTAAACATACCAAATACTTCTTCTTTGTGTTTCATAAGATACACATACACAAACCTAGAACAGCCATCTATCAATGTGACAAAGTATCTATTTCCACCTCTAGTTAGAAAACCATTGAATTCACACACATCAGAATGCACAAGATCAAGCATTTGTGTTTGTCGTTCAACTTTAGGAAAAGGCAACCTTGTAATCTTGGCTTGAACACAAGTTTCACATTTCTTATTTCCAAAGTCATTATATGAAATTAGGCCATCTTTAGACATAAATTTCAACACTTTATGATTCACATGTCCTAACCTTCCATGCCACAAAAAATAAGAACAAATAGAAAAAGTAGAAGCCAAGGGGTAAACAGAAATATCATTCACTCTATTAATACTCAACTTGAACATTCCATTACAAGAATAGCCCTTCCCTTCAAATACACCATTCTTTGACAAAATTACATTATTTGACTCTAGTACAGCCTTCAATCCCTTCTTGTAAGAATGTCCGCAGGCATTAAATTCTTAACAACATCGGAAACATGAAGTACGTTGGTAAGGACCAACTTTTTACCGGATGTGAATTGAAGATGCACATCCCCCTTGCCATGAACCTTGGCTTTCACTCCATTTGCCATGACAACTTCATGACCTTCAAGAAGTTCATAACTCTTGAACTGATTCTTATCATTGCAAACATGAATTGCAGCACCAGAATCATACC